CATCTTCTTGCCTTGTTGATTTTTTCCATTTTTTTTTCTGTACTGTTAATTTCTGCTTTGATCCTCATGATTTCTTTCCTTCTTTTACTGAAGGATTTACGAATATGTTGTTGTTTTGTTCCAGTTCTGGAAAGTGTTGTGTCAGGGTGTTGACTTTAAATTTCTCCTCTTTTTTCATGTGGGTGCTGATTGCTATAAACTGGCCTCTGAGTGCTGCTTTTGCTGTGTCCCAAAGGTTTCTGATATGCTGTGTTATCATTCTCATTTGTCTCAAGAAATTAAAACATTTTCCTTAAATTTCCTCCTTTATTTGCTTTATTACTCAATCATTTTTGAGTATTATGTTGTTCAATATCCATGTGTTTGTCTTTATGCTTCTCTTTGTTTTATTGTTGAATTCCAATCTTAAAGCATTGCAGTCTGAGGACTCCAATACTTTTGAATTTGTTGAGGCATATTTTGTGGCCTAGCATGTGGGCTATTCTTGAGAATATTTTATGTGTGTTGGAAAAGAACGTTGTGCTAGGCTAGGTTGACTAGAGAAAGAAATTCATCGACTCACATATATGTATAAGAGAGAGCTTTGTATCAAAAGTAATTATAAATCAAGCAAGCATCCCAGTCTAGTCCAGATCAAGTCCCTAAGTCCGATTCTAGTCCATAAGTCCCTTTTCAGACTCGTGCAGACGCATGCAATGACGCAAAATGCAGGAAGGTCTCAGGTCTGGGGGTGCAAAGTCTTGTGGATCCATTGGTGGTGGATGCATCTCCAGACTTCTGGCAGATATTCATGTGGTTTGATAACAGGAAGGTGAGGCAGAGAAAGAGGGGAGGATCCCAGGATCCGCCTTAAGAGAAGGTCACACCCATAAGGAGGTATCATCAGGCTGTGACCCCACTGACAGGCTGGACTCTACCCCTGCACTCTGTTTATCAAGTTGATACAAGATTATGTAACTACCACAAACATACTGTGTTTTTGTTGGATGGAGTATTCTGTATATGTCTATGAGGTCAATTTTGTTGATTGTGCTATTGATTTTTTTCTAGATAGTCTGTCTTTCTTTGATAGTGATTCATTGGTCTCTTGTTATTACTGTCAACATTTCTATATACTTTCCAATTCTGTGAGGATTTGATCGATGTATTGCAAGGTTCTTTTTGAGGGTCTTTCACTGGAGCATATGTGTTTATTATAGTTATGTCTTCTTGGGCTATTGTTCCCTGGGGCATTTTGTAGTGTCTGCTCTCTCTTTAAGGTGAATATAAATTAATTTAATATAATACAAATTAATATAATATAAAGACAAGAAATACTTAAGAGGGAGTAGACTGCCATCAACATTCAAGAGCCCAGGGAAGATGTTTCTGTCATGGAACATCTAAGAGATACTTGCCCCAGAATAAATTCAGGATATGTCTATGGGGAGGTCAACTAGCCATGTATCGAGTTCTATCCAGCATAATCAAGGTTACAATGTTCTCTGCCTGCTAGCAGGCTGTTCAGGACTCTTGCCTTTGGCTATAGTGGATCTGCCAGTGGCTCCCTCTGATTATGTACTTTGCAAATGGGTTTTGGGCTTCAAATCTTAATATAATCAGTGAGATATCAAATTTCTTCCTTAGAATTTCCTTCCATAATGGCGTCTTTAAAAAAAGATAAGCAAAAGCTTGTTTTATTATTAGTAAATAGCAACTCCAAAATATAAGGGTATACAACTTTTTATTTTTTTCATGCTTTTGTGGGTCTCTAGTCTAATTCAACTCAATGACAGTGAGTTTTTTAAAAAAATCATTTTATTGGGGGCTCGTACAATTCTTATCATAATCCATACATACATCCATTGTGTCAAGCACATTTGTACATTTGTTCCCATCATCGTTCTCAAAACATTTGCTTTCTACTTGAGCCCTTAATATCAACTTTTCTCCCCTCCCTCCTGACACCTCCCTCCCCCATGAACCCTCCATAATTCATAAATTATTATTTATCATACCTTACACTATCCGATGTCTCCCTTCACCCACTCTTCTGTTGCCCATTCCGCAGGGAGGAGGCCATACGTAGATCCTTGTAATAGGTTCCCTATTTCCACCCTACCTTCCCTCCACTCTCCAGGTATCACCACTC